GCATGTTTCTCCGTTTGCTGCTGTTTTCATGCCAGCGCTGCTGCGTGCAGTCATCTACGTGTGTGGATTTGCCGTGAGCGGGGAACTGTAAATTTGGAGTCATTTCCCTGCCTCTGATACAACTCCTGGGCACTGTGGCACATGCACATAGGTTCGCGAAATTGGTTCTGTGAGCAACAGAACGAATGTGACCCATTCCTGGTTTACGCCCATTAGCTACTCATTTTTTTAGACAAGCGAGTTGTCATTGCATTTTGCATTTCAAAAAAGCCATTGCGCGCGAAATCCGCACATCGATGTCTGCAGGTGACATTGATGCCGTTGTGACAACGCGCGTTCAAACCATTTCAAATGATATTAGCAGGCACCTCAGCGCTTTATTCGGGAATCATGACATGTCGGCAATCACGTGACACAGATGAACGTTGATTTTCAACTGTTTAGTTTTGCAATCGAAACTCGCTACAAGCTCTTTAAAAGGCGTCGCTGCGTACCAGCTCTGGGCTACACAAGCTTATAGGCTTAGCTTTATGTTCGACCGATGTTTGGGTCGGCGGCCGTGCTGCAGTGTGACTGGTGAACTTCGGTTTTTTTTTTTCTTCTTTTTTTGCAATAAAACAGGCCTCTGTACCTTCGGTGGTTCATTTGTGTGGACACTAATTTCTTACCTGCGCTGCCCGAGTTACAGAACGACGCGGGCGGCATTCGTAAGTCAATAGGGAGTTCTACATTGACAGAGAAGACCTACAATAATAAAGAAAAATATAACAGGCCAAGGTGGGCCGTATTAATGCGTGGTTGCTCGCGTGGAGAGGCGTTATCAGTACCGTTCAATTGTCACTTAGTGCCATATGCACGTGCTTTACGAGATAGTCCGTGCAGCGAGGTTTCTATGTACTGTTCAGCACTTTTGAAAGGGTCTCGCTCGAGGTGGCCGCGTACCATGGTGAGCGCCCTTCTGTTGTCTGTTAAAAGCCTGCAGTACACTTCATGCTATCATATCAGGCTTTTCTTTAAGCGAAGGCCCACTGTTACGTCTGTGTTTTTCTTTTTTGAAAGTTTCCTGAGAACCCAGTTTTGAACAAAACCTTTTTAAAATACTTTTTTTAACTTCAAATTTTTTCAAACATGTTTTCATGAGGGCTAGGTAGGTCACGGGGTATGTAAAAAGTTAGTGCAGTTCATACCTGGTAATTATTTGTTCAAAAACTTACTTCAAAATCTGTTTCAGTGTTATGTGCATTTTCAGCCAAACGAAATATTCACAGGTGCCCCCACATTGGTAAAAAATTTTTTTTTCAAGCTCCCAGGACGACATATTAAATGTTACTAACTGCTCCAAAGCAAGGTTCTATTGCTCCAAAATTGCAATTTTGCTGCTCCAAAATCTGTTTCCAATTTAAACTCGGCCGTCTAACCCCTGAACACGCGTGGAAGTGCTTGCCTCGAACTCGATGTCATGCAGTGCTGGCTTGCACTTGAATTGGGAGTTGCAGCACGCCTAAATAGCTGAAACATCTTTTGCATTGTATCCGAAGTTCGCTTTGATGAGCTTCCTACATTTCAGAAGCAAGGTTGGATTGAGGGAAGAAGTTTGTCAGATCCTTGATTTTCAGGAAACTGTGCCTCAACACTAACGAAAAAGAAGAGCCTATGCATGTTCGGTTGTGGACAGCTTTTTTTACACTATGCAGTTATGGCCAGCACAGTGGTGAGGGCGCTGGTGGCGGTGTTTTTCACAGCACCGCCTAAGCAGCCTTACGTCTATAGCAGTACAGAGCCATAACAGCGTGGTGATACTAGAACCGGAATATAGGATGTTCACGATATCTGTACGACCTCCCACTGTTGACCAGTGCCTTCAAGATCAGCATTTTCCATTTATAAAGCTGTGAGGCAATCGAAGTAAAGTCTCACAGATCACCAATTCGCTTTTGTTTTTCATCCCAGAGGTCATACTTTGTATGGTATAGGCTGTGGAGAAGATATTGGCTGCCTATTCGACGTGCATAGTCCGAATTATCAAATGCAGAACTGGCAGCTGCCTGAAAATATCAGTCGTCTTTACACATTACATCCATGGGGCCATCGGCAGTGCTATGCAGCTGTTCGATTCATCCGTCAGTGACTGTAGTTGCATTAAACCTGAGCGTGAAAGTCGGTAACCTAAGTAGCTGTGACAGTGAGTGTGGAACAGTTCTTTTGTTGCCTCTTGACAAGGTGCAATATGTCACCTTAATAGGAACTGGCAGCTGACCAATGCTACTAATAACTGTGGGTAGGAAAACTGCTATAGCTCAAAATTACACCCATTATCGCATGAGGCAGGTTTCCGCAATGCAACAGCGATGCCAGGAATCTCAAGTTGTCTTGTTATGTTCAACATGTCTTGATAAGCTCATGCCCTGTTCTTGAATAATACTTGTTCTGTGCTTCCAGTATCTGCTAACTGTCTGCTCTCTCGTTAATCACTCCTCTAGAACATCTTTCATGCAATGGCATGGGTCGGACATTGCCTGCAACAAAGTGTGGCCAGCTTCTTTGACAACGGCCTATTGTCTTGGTATGGCCTCCGAGATTTTACGGTGCATGCGACTCTCTTCAGTCTTTAAAGTCATGCATTATAATTTCTTATGTGCAGATAGCTGGTGCCACAAATGCGTGACTTACTTCTGATTAGTTCTCATTTTTTGTTGTGCCTCGAAAATCGGTCCTTGCATGCATTCATGCATTGCTGCCACATTTTGCGATTCCTGCCTTTCGTGACAGCATTGCTCGCTGTGCACAGCATTTCATGCACGTTTTTGCCAGTAGTGAGTACGAAGAGTTTACGGTTGCTGGTCAAGCGACCCTGCTCCCGCCTGCATTTATTCATTCTCCTTGAGGACAATTGCTGCTCGAGTGAACCCCTTACTGCATTTTTTCATGGTCTTTGAAGACATGCAGGGCATTTCTGTCTCTTGAGTAGCCATCGACTTGGTGCTGGCACACGAGTTGATGTTGTAAAACTCACATTCAAATTCAACCTTATTCAACATTTTCTTTCGAAACATGTGGGAAGAATATGTAAGAATAAAAGCAAGAGGCCCCATGTTAGCGGCTTGACAAGAGGCTACCTTTTTTCTTGGCATAGAAAATCCACATTGCACATATATGAAAACATTTTGACATTGATCTGCAAACTTCAAAGAATCGAAAAAAAAAAAAACACATTTCATTACGTCAAAGTTTTAGGTTGACATGAAATTGAACATAGAACAAAAAAAGCATAGTTTTTACAAAAAACAGCGTATAGTCAGTTATGAAAACTCGTGCCTTGCCAAATGGCTACGAAATACAAAAGATAATATTAAAGATAGACAATATCAAATCTCAAAAACGTAAAATTTGGAGTAGTATTACAAAAACAGTAATTGGTGATTGGTTGCATGTCTCGTTCATAAAAAAAAAGTAAGAAAAAGAAACAAAGCAACAACATAGGAAGACACCGTAGACAAACGAGCACTATTATACGATGGCTTCTTTTACCCACAGTGCTCTCTAGATGGATAAGTAGAAGAACTAAAGTACACGCTGTTCATTCTGAATCAGGAGCTTCTTAAGTTCTATTTGAGACATACTGAAGAATGCGTTTATTTTCGAACATGTTAAAACAAGGGGTAGTGCAGTATTCAAGTCAACGATGATTAGTTCACGAATAAGGTACAAAGCAGGAAGGCATTTGCAGGATGTTATAATGAGTTTGTGTAGTTTTGATAGCATTGCAAAGTTTTAGAAAACAAGCGTTGTTTGATAGCCTGTATTGCATAATGAAACTAAAGCTGTATATTTTATCAATCACAAAATATTGTACTCTATGAATAAATCACTTAGTATGTGTTTTATCATATGCTTGCATTACGGCATATTGCTTTTTTCTACTACAAAAACATTCTGTTTCTATTTTCCTTAGATGTATCTCCTTACTCTTAACTAAAATTGTTTGTAAGGTGAAAACAACATATTACAGAGGAAAGTTAGATCTTGTCTGGAATAATTTGTCCGAAGTCACAGAATATACCGCACATCTTTGTCATATTTTTAGTTTATCAATGTTTTGCTCCCAGTTAGGATTCTGATTAAAAAATTACTCCTGAAAGTGTATATCCAGATTACGGCAGACAGACTTCTGAACCTGTGTGAACAATACAGCTTTGGATTTTGTTGTGTCGATCATAAAATAATTTACAGTATTCCATATGAAGACATTCTTAAGAACATTATTGGCTGTATTTACAAGATTATGCAAATCATGGCCATAGAAAAATATTTCAGTGTCATCTGCAAAAGTTGCTAAATCGGCAGACTTTCTGATCCCTTTATGTCTTTGATATAAATATTGAACAATAGAGGCCCTGGTATGCTGCCTTTAAACACACGTGACATAATGGTTGTAGGAAGCGTTGGCTATCATTTTTAACTACAGACTGCTTTCTTCATAATACGTATGGTCTCAGAAAATCTAGTGGCATTCTGTGAAAACCATAGTGACGTAATTTTACATACAGTATTCTATCTTTTTGCTTTAGAATAGTCAATACAAATGGCCAAAGTGGACGTGGACAGTATGCTTCCAAGTTAATTAGGTACAAGTTTTTTTGTATGAGCAGTGCCAGTTCTGTGAACATATACCACCTGAAACCGAAATAATGTGGAGACAATATAGAATACCTCTCGGAAAAAGACATACTAACACGGTGATTTACAGTCGATTCTGGATGTATCAAATTTCGATATATGAATTTATTGGCTATATCGAACAGTTGACAAATCCCTTTGAATTTTCTATGCAAAAAGATGGGACCGGTGCACTTGTATATCGAACCGAACTCTCGCACAGTGGGACATCTGCTAAATTGAATGTTGTGCCACTACGAAGCCCTGAAAGTGCACTTTTCCTAACAAATAACAATCAATTTTCGGCCGTGTTCTAACAAGTTTCTATCTCTTTCCATGTGCAGGTGATGAAAAGGCAGTGTTACTTCATCCGACTGATTTGGTGCATTGCGCGGCACTTAGTGTGCACCGGTATGTTTGATGCGTGATCTGCAGATCTTAACGCGTGCCCCGCCGCGGTGGTCTAGTGGCTAAGTTACGTTACTGCGAACCCGCAGTGGCGGGATCGAATTCCAGCTGTGGCAACTGCATTTTTGATGGAGGCGAAAACGCTGTGGGCCTGTGTGCTTAGATTTTCAATAAGACCGAATGCCGAGGACACCAATGTAGGAATGTGAAGAGACTCTGCAATCTCGTTGCGAACCGCGCGACAACTTAGCTGCTAATATATCATGGTGAATTTGTTTACATTTGTACATGCGCCCTATGCCATAGTGTTTGAAAAAATAATTCACTTTACACAGAAAAATGTGAAAAGCCTTTCTTGCAGTTGAGTTAATTATTTTTCCACGATAACATATCTCTTGAATATCATGCTAGCCGCCATGGCGTAACTAGTTTTCTTTTTGTTGTTGTTAAACTATCACACATAATCTTCCTGAGTGCACTTTAAAAAAGAGAGGCATGTGCACACTTCCTACTATATAACTTCGGTAGCTTTGTTTTAAAAAACTCAAATCTTCGAGCCGGGCTCACCTGAACATTCACGGAGAAAACCCCCTTTCGATTACGGAACACCTTGCAATCATCGCTGCCGGGGCTCTTTATACGTACGTGGGTGCAATTGATACACCCTGTGACACCAGGGAACTGGGCAATTTCGTAAAAATCGCGCATCACACCGGCATACTCATATGCTGTCGGAAAATACACAAGTCTGCGAATTGGACAGCTCGAGTTGAGACATGTCGCCTTCCGCACGAAGCGGCACACAGTAGGTTGTGAAGCTTATATGAGATTACCGGCACCAACCTGGAACGTTCCAGCACCATGAAACCTGAGGCACAAGAAAAGCTGAAGCATCGATGAAATTGGAAATCCATAGTTGTCATGGCTTGCTTAAAGCAGCAGCATTCTCAACAGCTCTCGCACAATTTTTTATTTATTTTTTGAGAAACGGTAGCATGGCAGGAACTGCTCATTGCTGTACATGTACATGGGGTTTTCTCCGTCCCGAAGCACTCGTTGTGGCACTCGGCAGTGCATATATGTCGCCGAAAACTATGTCGTATGCGCGACATTTGAAATCAAATGCGTTGAGAAGATAGAAGTCTGCCATGTTTTCTCGCCTATGCGCTTGCGACGGCTTCAAGTCGGACTGATGGTAGCTGCGGAGCCGCTTTCAGATTCGAGCCGAACTTGGCCTTCTAAGTTCGTTTTGAGGTGGCGCTTCAAGTCAAGGTAGGTTTAGGAAATGCGATGGCGCTGCCTTAAGCAAGCTGGAAGTAAATTTCGAGTCAAGTCACACTTGTGAATACGAGGGTAAAATTTTAAATGTATTTGTCTCAGTTTCTTGTTTTTAGACGTAACACGTAGCCTTATGGGGCATTTTGACATGTTTTTATTGACTCACAAAAATAAGTGTGATACTAATGTGTTGGTATTGAATAGATCTGGCCGATGATTCTATTCATTTCCTTTTATATGTTGTTCACCAAATTGTAATTCATGACAATTGGAAACAATATGTGGCAAAAACTAATCACTCATGTTTGTATTCATTTATTTCACATTTGAAGTTTGTTGCAAATTATGAAATTAGCATCATCGGCTAGACCATCTCTCTGGCAACTGTATATATACTTTATTTTTGTGTTTGACACAGTGAAATTGCCAAAAAGCCTCGTAATAAATAGACAAATTGTGTATTATACAAATTTATTATCTTCTGTACCAATGCTGCTATTGAAAATCTAGTTAAAGATTTGGAATCTGCAGCAGTAACTGAATAATTGTATTAAGTTTCATTCAATTCAGACAAATAACAAAAAAAAAACTTTTCAAGACCCACGTCCCCTTCTAAAACAGTGCAAGAGATGAGAGACAAGGACGCAAACCAGAGTGCTGACTCGCATGGTTTATTAATTAAAATTATGCAACATTTGCTGTCCTCACAGACTGAAATGAGACTCTTTAGGGCTAAGAAATAATGCATATTTCTGTTTTTTCTGTCTTGAGTGCATGTCATGTTAAAGTAATTTTGGTTCGAACATTTACACCTGAACCAACCTCACTTTTAGCCACCTGTTTCGTAGTGACATGCCCCACTTATCTCTAGCATTTGAGCTTGCCGATATGTTGCTTTTCAATTCATGAGCACTCTACATGCAGAGTCTACGGCAAAAAAAAAAGGGAATGGTGTTCTTTTACTGGTGCCATTCTGAATTTTCGAGCATGTTTTACCAACTGGCCCAGAAGTTTACTGTAGGAGGGTAATTGTCCTGAACCTAAATGCAGCTGTAATTGTAATCTAGTTAATACCTAGCAAAAATTACCTATAGAAAAACCAATAGCCTATCGGATTATTGAACATATTGGTATATTGGTATCCTATGGGTCTATAGGTAGCATTTTGGTCTATTAGACCTCTATTTGTCTATTGGTGTATTTGTAAATTGGTGCTCTATTAGCCTATTGCGTATTGGTCTATTGCCGTATTGGTCCTGTATATGTCTATTGGCATTCTATTTGTCTATTAGTGCTGTATTTGTGTATAGGAAATCTATCTCGGCCTATTTCTTATTTGAGAACTCTTAGCTTTGGAATAAAAATATAGGGCATTTGAGGACTGCAACATAGCAGTGCCTCTATAAAACAAAGCAGATCAATTTGAAGTGAGGTCTGTATTATATTTATAATTAGTAGAATATAATTTCATCAAATCGACAATCTTCCTCGAAACAAGCTTTCCGAGCATGCTGTTCTTCCTTGTCAAATGTATGCCACTGCACCACTTCTCTAGGTAGTGCTTGAAATTAAAAACATATATAAAATACCAGGAAGACGGAAGGAAATATTTTATAAGTGCTACTCAAAACAATGGCACATAAAAAAAATGTAGAACCAGCATGAGGAAAGTTCAATTATTAATAGAGAATTCAGAAATGCTTTGTTGATGCAGCTAATGCCTAAATAAAACTAATAATTACTTGTAAGGTGTTATTTAGCTGTCATTTATTACCAAAACAGTACGCATTATCTGACTGGTGAGCTCGCAGTAACAGCTTCACACAGAAGGAACAAATATTTGTCACATCTGTGCAGCATATTTGATTATGCTTGTGTCCCAGAAACAAAACCTCGGTCACTTAGGTGGACCTTGGGCACTTGTGGGCAAGGCAAAACGACACTAGCACCAAACCGATCTCAGCGTCTGAGCATCATGAGTCGCACAAAAAGCTTCACTATTGAATAAACGCCTCTCTAGTGCAACAACGTATACTACAGAATGGGGATCAGTGAACATGAATGCTAATTAATGATGGGAGAGCCGCACAGTATTTTTGTTGGCTCTAAAAAGCTTAGCTTCTTTTCTATCCTCGAAGTTTACCATTATGATTGAACGAAGACATTACTTTTTGAATTGCCACGAAAACAATGCGCTAGTCAATAACGTGCATTTATACCAGTGTCTGTATATGCTAACAGCCCACACAATGTTGAAAAGTGTTGTACTATAGAGTGGAAAAACTACTGAACAAATAAAGCGGCCAAACACTTTTAATGGGGACGCACTTTGATGGCTGGCAAATAAACGAATTAGAAGCACAAGAAAAGCAACTCCTACTGAATAACAAATATATAAAACAGTTCTCTTACCTAACAGCCGCAGGGTATGCACTCGGAAAAAATCACCTTGGTGGGCATCGTGTCGGCACCAGCAGTATTCATTGCTGTTTTAAGTCCGAGAACACTGTAATTCCTTTGATGTTCTTGACTAATCTAGCATTGTTGTCGTGATTCAATATATGCCAATTTAACTTTGAAATACTTTAAATCTATACAAACACAGAGCCCGACCACGCCGCCTGACACACTTGGCCGACAACAGTTGCGGCTGCGGCTGGCTCTACTCGGCTCGCACACACGCTTGCTGGCTTGAGCACTGGAGCCATGGTGATGCCACAAAAACGAGTTTGTTTTCTCACTTTTTATTGCATTATTTTTCTCTTGTCAAATATACTGAGCTGCAAATAAAATAAAAGGTTATAGAAAGAACAGAAAACTGAAATGTTGGTCGCAGAAGTATAAATAAAATGGAAGACATATAGCCCCTTCTAGCTACATTACAGTCTTTTTCTTATTTCTTCAAGCCTGTATTGCACTGCGGCATCTTTCAAATGTTATACCTTTCCCGTTTTAATTTTACTAAGGTCTGAATAATAATTTTTATGTAACTATCTCCAAATCAGTGACATAAATTTCTCTGCCGCAGGGGGTTCATGTAACGCAGGAGGCACAGGCACGAACTTGCGGGCCACACACTCCAGCAAACATGAACATCGATGTTCACTTTTCAAACACTCGAACGAGCTCGCCTATGTGCGACGCAACGATACACGAACAACGCCGTTCGCATTTGTCTTCACTGTGCATTTAGCTTGGTCCTGCTAGTCTCCATATTATGCACCATAAATGGCCTGTCTTTATTACCACGAAGGCTACAAGTGTAAGTAACGTGACCAGCGGAGCGTGGAGACGTACTCTTCGATTTTTTTTTTTATTCGAAGAACTGTACTGGCCCACCGGCTGAAGTGGACGATGTATACATTATGGGTATACACATTCACTCAGGCCGTGACAATTTCTACAATACACTTTGACTTCCGTTATTTTGTTAATAGTTGATTTTCTCACCTCGTTTGCACTTTGAAGGAAAGCAGTAGGCTGCTGCCTCTGCATGGACATCGTGACCCCCTGCTAAAACATTACCTGCAGTGACGTTCTTTTTTTAACTCTATGATAAGTTTCCCTTTTGTGAACACTTATATTGTGGGCTTATATAGCCTATGAACATTATAATCATAATCTTGAGTGCAGAATGAAATTACGCGAGTTGACTGGGTGTGAAATTATTTTGGTGGTATTTATGAAAAATATAGGTGCAATATTTTGGAATACAAAAATATCTGTCACTTTGCTCATATATTGAACTAATGGAAAACTCCCTTTTGATGGAATTTGCCAATAAGAGAAATACATATATGAATGGCCTCTTAATACCACGCATATAAACTCAAAATTACTTGATTCTAGTAGAAATTTACACCAGCTAGATTTATAATTGACAAATAGCTACTGTTTATTGATTCTATAGCCGACAAATATGTCTCACCTATTACAGCCTATGAGCACCAATGCGCACCAATAGCTGTTGCCTATAGGTACCAATACATATTTATCGGTTCGTTGGTTCGATAGGGGACAAATAGCTGTCTTCTGTTGAACTCTAATGGCGTCGATACGTATCTATTGGTTCTATGGGTGACAAATAGCTACAACCTATAGACATCTTATTGGTATTATTGGTGACAAATAGGTGTGGTCAATTGGTTTTTATTGGTGCCAATAAACTTCTAATAAGGCCAATGAAGCATCAATACAGCTCTTATAAAACCAATAAGATTTTTCTATTGGAGCAATGTATTTCTCTATTGGCATTTTTTCTAGGGATGTCTCAGTATTAATACAAGACTACATCACGCTGAAGAAGCAAGAGAGGCAGCGAAAAAGACTTGATTTTGGGATGTGGGGTGTGCTCTCACCTGCCATCTAGGCTTACGCTTGGCGTTGTGTCAATATATCTCAACCATGGCCTCATTTCCCTGTGTGCTCTCCCGTAACATTTTGGCGGAGGTGCGGGGTAGCAAAGCACGACGGAGCTTCGAAGAGGATGCCAAGTTTCCACTTCCAAAATGTCTACCGACAAGGATGCGGCGTCAACAGCCATGCCTAATGCACCAACGGTGCCCACCTCTTTTGTGGTCATTGTGAGCTCTCCACCCCACGATCCTGGCAACTTTTCGGGCACTGACGGCGTGGACGTCCACGAGTGGGTTCAACTCTGCGGGCTCGTAATTGAAAATCACAGGTGGGATCCAACCATGATGCTGGCGAACGTTATTTTTTACTTGAAAGGAATGGCCAAGGCGTAGTTCAACAACAACATGGAAGAGCTCACCAGCTGGGACGTCTGTAAGACGAAGTTACACGAGTTGTTCGGCCAATCTGCCGGGTGCAAGCAGGCCGCTAAGAAAGAACTTGCTACCCGTGTCCAGACATCCACGTAGTCTTACCTGGCCTATATTCAAGATGTCTTGACCCTCTGCCGTAAAGTTGATACCACTATGACTGAAGCCAACAAGGTAGTGCACGTACTCAAGGGCATCATTGATGATGCCTTTAACCTCTTTTATTTAAAGGCTGTTCGATAGTCCAAGACGTCATTAAAGAGTGCTGACGCTTTCAGGAGGCTAAAAGTTGTTACATTGTCAACCACTTTACCCATCTTCCTAACACCACTGCAACGTTAGTGAGGACCTCCGTTTTGAGACCGAGCCCAATCCACCCTCTGCTGACATTACGAGAGTTGTTCGACGCGAAATCGTAGCGATGTCACCCGCACCCCTGAGAGTCCTGATGGCAAATGATCCTCAGCCCACCATATCCCTCATGCAGAATGTCGTATGTCAACAATTGGCAATTCAAGCCTTCAAACGATTTGTTCCATGCACCGACCCAGTGTGCATCCACCTACCTTGAACATCCGTCAGCACTACCGCCGTCCAGCTCCGAATAACATATTCAAATGCATGGAGGATGCTTGACGACAGGCCTATGTGCTTCCGGTGCGAATAAGTGGGACACATTTCATGTCATTGCCGAAGCACGTGGACCTTGCCTTCATGCTCAAGCCAAACTTCACGAACTTCAAGGCATCAGCCCGCCTTTCTGGCCAAAAACCACCATGGCATGACGACTCAGCTCATTACAACATGACTGCTACAACCAACGCCCAGTGCAGCTGATTGCCTTCACCGTGACGTAAATTCTCTCGGTCTCCTCCGCCACCCCGTTCCCCATCCCCGTCCTTCGCTCGACGGTTTTCTTCTGGAAACTACTGGTGCAGCTCTTTGAAGTAACGCTGCTGCTATGACTTGCCCTCTTTCTCTGTTGACCCTCCCGACCAACCAAAACCTGATTGATGTAAAAGTGAATAGTTTATCTATTAAAGCTTTAGTCGACACTGGTGCCCAAATTTCTGTTATGAGCTTGCACATTCGTGACCGCTTAAAGAAAGTCTTGACTCCAGCCCCTTCACGATGTGTTCGTGTTGCTGACGGCTGTGCAGCTGCCATCGTTGGTGTCTGCACAGCACACGTTACTATAGCCAGCCATCAAACCTCCTGTTTCTTCATTGTTCTCAACCACTGCACCAATGATGTTATCTTCGGTCTAGACGTTTTGTTCACTCATTTGGCCCTCATTGACTGTTCAGCTGGCACGAGGCAACTTGACCTGCCCTGTACGACTGATACGCCCAGCCAGCCCCCAGTTCGTCTGTGCTCTGTTGAACATGTTTGTTTGTCACCGCAAACAGTTACCTGCATTGCCCTAATGCTGTCGCCACCTATACCTGATGGAGACTGCGTGCTCATGCCCAATTCATCTGTCTTTTTCACTCACAATGTTATCTTTCCGCACACTATTATTCTGTTATAGGAGAGCCGTACTTGCATCCCTTTGCTGAACTTTGCTCTGTGTTCTCAAGTGCTTCCGTGTGGAATAGCCCTCATTACACTGACACTCGCTGACGACTGTATCACCTCAGCTTTGTTCCCCAACGACGGACGTCGCCCTGACTGCATGCCAGCCTGTTATCCGACTGCAAGCCCATCTTCTAATGTAGAAAAAATGACTGCGACGGGCCATATGCCGCATCAAACTGATGCACTCCGTCACGTCCTGGAATTGTACTCGGACGTATTCGACTTTTGTGACCATCCGCTAGGTCAAACCAGCGTTGTGAAGCACCACATTAACACTGGCGATGCATCTTCGGTCCATCGACGGCCGCACGGCGTCTCTCCTTCAGAGCATCATATAATTAAAAAAGAAGTCAACACGATGCTGGCCAAAGACATAGTTGAGCCATCTTCTAGTCCATGAGCTTCCCCTGTTCTTCTTGTACAGAAAAATGACAACAGTTGGCTATTCTGTGTCGACTACCAACATCTGAACTAGATCACTAAAAAAAGGCGTCTACCTGCTTCCACGCATTGACGACGCCCTGGATTGCCTTCATGGTGCTAAGTATTTTTTTTTTCCATCAAGCTTCGATCAGGCTACTGGCAAATTGCTGTCGACAGCATGGGTCACGAGAAGATTGCTTTTGTGACCCCTGATGGTCTTTACCAGTTTAGGGTCATGGCGTTCGGATTATGCAATGCTCCAGTCACTTTCGAGCGAATGATAGACACACTCTTGCACAAGTTCAAATTGTCAATTTGTCTATGTTACCTCGACGACTTCATTGTATTTTTCCCAACCTTTGAAACACACTTCGACTGCCTTCCCTCCATCCTTTCTGTTTTTCTTAACGCAGGACTGCAACTGAACTCATCGAATTGTCACTTCGGACGCTAACACCTAACCATGTTGGGCCATCTTGTCGACTCCTCTGGTGTGTGCCCTGATCCTGATAAAGTTCAAGCTGTGTAAAACTTCCCTGTCCCGACCAGCATCAAGAAAGTCTTCTGACATTTTCTAAACATTTTTGCAGACGTCGCCTGCCCTCTTGCGGGCTTGCTGCAGAAGGTTCCATTTTCTTCGAGTGCTGCGCAGGCTTTAGCGTTCCCTAATCTCATCATGTTACTCACAACACCACTTACCTTATCACGTTCTCTAATCTCATCTCATTATTCACAACACCACCTATTCTTGCCCATTTTGACATTTCCGCCCCAACAAAAGTCTGCACTGATGCCAGCGGCCACGGAATCGGTGCTGTTTTGGTCCAGCATGAAAGCTGCTGCAGCCGCGTTATTGCATATACCAGCCATCTGCTCTCTGCAGCCGAGCGGAAATACTCAATCATCGAACGGAAATGCCTTGCACTAGTTTGGGTGGTTGTG